GCTCTTCCAATTGTGCTGTTATTCTCACTTAAGATGAAGGCTTACAGAACAAAATAGTTTCTCATTTAACAGTTGCTTCAAATGTTGCCCTATGACAATGGTTAACAATCTCACAACACATCAACAATATCCTTACTCAACCTCGGGTTCCCTATCAGCAGCTTCCTTGTCCCCTTCTGCTTTCTGGCCCTTGTCACTGGACTCCTGTACCTCGTTAGCCTCAATTTGGTTTTATGGGGCTGTCCACTCCCACGCTGAACAGTGAACCTCGGAGGTAACTTCACCACTGAGCTAAAAAGGTGTTTGGGGGCCATTCAGCATCTCTTGCTGCTTTCTCCCAGCACCAGAAAACCAAAGGATGCAAGGAACTAATCCTTTGCTGCATTATGATATATGTAAATCTCTGTTCAGTAGCATCTGACCAGCCCACACAAATAAATATTGACTTAAAAGCACGGGTGATATGTCTCTTCCCAAACCCTCACAGCCCTCCCCTCTTTTAATCCCCTTCTATATGAATACTAGTCAGTACTTTCACTCGTTTATTTGCTAGTTCCATTTCTTTTCTATTCACTCACACACCAGTTACATCTGCAGTTTTTCATGCTTGCTTGTCTGTTTCCCCATACCTGAATAAGTAATGTTTTCCATTCTCTTTGTTTTCCCCTTTCTTTCTGTCTCTCTCCCCTGCTACTTACCCCCAAACACAGAGCCTACCAGATGAGTATTCTTGGTCCTGCCTAATGGAGCCCAGCCACATCTGCAGCCTTGGTCCCTCATCCCCAGGCTGCTGCATATCACCTCATTGGGGAGCCGGCCATCAAGAAGGGCCATTAACAGATGTAAATAGCAGCATCCCTGGAAAGCCACATGCATCACCCAGACTCAACCCGGCCAGTGATCATAAGCTCTGAGTACACATTCCTCAATCCAATTGCACATCTACTGTAATCAGGTTGAAGCTTTCCACACAGCTATTTGTGATTCTCAGCATTAAGAAATATATATATGAAACACCCACAGATAAATATAAGCTATTTAATATATCATGCTATTGGCCAAAAACAAATCAAAATGGATATAATACACAGGAAAAATCTAATCACCTTCTGAGATAAGATACTACTCTATCTGCTCATTAAAGACAGAGAAAGGAAGGAGAAACAGATCATCCAAAAAACAGCACAGAGCAACTCTGAGTATTAGGATAATTTTGGTTGTGGTTTTTAAGAAGCTGGTTAATATACTGCCTGCCTGGGGAGAAATATTTCACCTGCCTTCTCATGTACCTCTCTAACCCAACACCTCTTTTGTTTTTCAGGAAGGAAAAGCTATTTCTTTTCTACTTTCCTCTAAATGCATTTGTAGTTAGGAAGATTGGGTTTTACACAAAATTTTATGATATATTAACCTTAGCTATCTAGGCCAGAAACAGCTTAGACACAAGCCCTGAAGAATCTACTTCAGCATTTGCATGCTAATGTAAACATTGTGACTATGCAGCACTGAGCAGGCAAATAATACTCTTATCTTTTGTTATTACCTTGGGACTCTAACTGTGTCACTTGGGCAGTCAGTTCAGCAATTGGCCAGGTCATTATGCTTGCAATATTGACTTCTAATTAGGTGCCAGCACAGCGTCACCAGGAATACACTACTCTTTATCAATGTCTTTCCAAAGTGTGCTCATAATTGACACCTCCTCTAAAAAGTACCATTACAGAGAGGAGAGTATTATCCCAGTCTTAGTATAGCAAGATTCCTTATGGAAGAGATTAAGTTTTGAGTGAACGCACGATAAACATCTAAGAAAGCATCTGTTATTGAACTGACATTCAAATTTAGATTTCATTGCTAATCAAACAGTCAGGAATATAATGGTAGACATGGGCTTTGGTGTCAAACAAACTTGAATCCAAATCCAGGCTCTATTACTTATTAACTGTGTGACCTTGGGGAAATTATTTAACTTTATTGCACTTTGGTGTCCCCACATAAAAAATTAAGCAAAAAAATACTTATGGGTTTGATGAAGCTAAATAGACTATTGGAAGCAGAAGTCTTTATTGACTTCAACATACAAAGTTTGCCGTTTTCACTCCTCTCAACCTATCCAGATCCTACCCATTCCAAAAAGGTTCATTCAAATTTCATTTCCTTAGAAAAGCTTCCCCAAGTCTAAAGTGACCCCACGCTTCTCCAATCTTCTACTGAAACCTTCATGTAGAGAACTCATTTGATAATCAATCACATGCTGCTTAGGACTGCTTTTAGCTTGCCATCTTGAACCATTATATCATCTCCTCCAGTGCCTTGTATGACCCCTATACATAATACAGGAGCAGTAAATTTTGCTGGTACCATAATCATTTCATTTTTTAAAGTGATACTTGGTAAACAGTCAACATCAAGGACTTAGAGCATCGTCCATAACTTATCTCTGGGAACCAGAGAATAACAGTCCTAAATATCATCAAACTATTTTATTTTTAAATAAACAATAATAGCTACCATTAACTGAACATCTATTATATGCTATACTGTACTAGATGTTGAGACAAATACTGATCATGGCTATTCAGAGCTTAGGCTGGGGAGTCAGGCTGTCTTGGTTAAAATCTTAGCTCTACTCTTTACTAACTATACAACCTTCAACAAGTCACTTAACCTCTTACAGCCTCAATTTTTCCAATTACAAAATGGGGATACAGTATTTTTCTGGAAGGACTGTCGTGAGGAACAACATATAAGTTAGCACAGAGCCTGGCATATAAAAGCCCTCGAATACTAGCTATTGGTAGTAATATTATTAAATCAGAGGTAGCTGTTATTATTGCCACAAGAAAAATGAGGCATGGAGGAAGTAACTTTTTCTTGTGGCTAGTATGAATTTTTTTTAATAAGGTCCACACAAAGAGGAATAGTATTTCCTTTACTAAAGAATATAAGGAAGTATGCACCTTATTTTACTAAGTACCTAAGTAGTACTAGTGCTATTGCATTTAGCTGAATACAACATGGAAAGATGAACATCAACTATAACACAGACAAACGTCATTAACACATAAAGGCAATGTGGGGTTCTGGATTGGGTCCTGGAACAGAAAAAGGACGTTAGTGAAAAAACTAGTGAAAGCTAAATAAAGTCTGCAGTTTACTTAATAATATTGTACCAGTATTAATTTCTTAGTTTTGATAATTGTACTATGGTTATATAAGATGATAATATTAGAGGAGGGAACCCCTGGGTGGTGCAAATGGTTAAGTGCTCAGCTGCTTCCAAAAGGTTGGTGGTGGTTCCAACCCACACAGAGGTGCCTCAGAAGACATATCTGGTGATATGATTCCAAAAGGTCACATTATTGAAAACCCTATGAAGCCGTTCTACTCTGCATACATGGGTCGCCATGAGTCAGAATCTACTCAACAGCAACTAACAACAACATTGGGGAAGCTGGGTGAAAAGTATATGAAACTCTCTGTACTATCTTTCCAACTTTTCTGTAGATATAAAACTATTTCAAAATAAAAAGTTAAAAAAATAAATGTCATGATAAAAACTATTTTGGGGGGGAAGTAAACTGGCTAATGGGGTCATTGTTAGTGTTCTGTGCAGCCTTATAAAATGATGGTTATGAAGACTATGAATAGCATTTTACAATACCCATGATCTAATACTAAATTAGAAAAAATAAGAAGGATATAAAATTGTATGTATACCATAATATTTGTGAGAGGCAAAATAGTGTGGTGGTTTAGGGCACAGACTCAGGAGCCAGACTAGCTGGGTTTAAAACAGATTCGGTCAGTTTTCTAGCCATATAATTTTAGGTAAATTACTAACCTTTCTGTGCCTCAAGTTTCCTCATCAGTAAAATGGGGTAATAATAATCTACTGCATAGGTTTGCTGTGAGGATTAAACACGTTAAGTCCTAGAACAGTAGTTGGCATACAGTAATACATTAAAAAAAGCATGTTAAAGAAAAAAAAAGAAAGAAATATAGGAAAATGAGATGATAATTATTATGATGATGAGATTATGTGGTATTTTCTTTTTCCATTTTCTAAATTTGTGTTTATATTACATTCATAGCTTTAAAATTTTACAAATTAAAAATAAGTAACATGATAAGAGTGATGGAAAAATATGGAAATG